ACTTTGTGGTAGTCCGATGACCTGCGCGCGAAATCGATGGATAACATTTAAGAAATGAATGAAGGATTAAAGTTTGTGATTGTCTGAAATATCCGTGAGGGATGAATGGAAAGGTAAAAAGACTAAGTTCTGCTCAAAGCATTGTTCAGTGGTGATTGCTCACAGGTCAAACCGGACAAATGTGCAAAATTAGATCGTTTTAATAGCACCACATCCACATGGGCGGTTATTAGTTGAGGACAGACCATACCTGAAAAGCTTGGTGAAAGTTGAATAGGATCTGGTTCTGAAAAGAGAGAATATGAAATCCAAACAACTAGAGGAAAAGGCGACAATAATCAGTCGACGTCGTGAATGAAAATCTGAATATATTTGCTATTTGTAAACGCTGTCTCACGAAGGTGCAGGAAGTGAGATTTTATTTGCGATAGGGAATATGCAATCTCTCATTATTGCCATTCGCCGTTGTGAAAGCAGTTAACTCACTGCACGTGACTCTCACAACTCCAACGAGAATCTGATTGGTGAAATATGTCTTATCAAGCATTTCCTTCAAGCCGATGATCAAATCAACTTTGAAAATAAAATTACGCTCCGACATGATCACGACCCCGCTAACCATAGAGGTGGCACCCTCTTAGCTATTTCAAAACATATTACATTTCAAAGAATTTCTTTTCATAATCTCCCCTCTTCCCGAATTGAGATACTTGGTGTTAAAATCCAAGTTAATAACAGGACAATTACGGTAGTAAATATATATTCACCAGGCGGAATGTATTCCTCACAATGGTTGGAAAATTTCTTTTCCAGCATTAGAAAACCTTTCATCATCGTCGGAGATTTTAACGTGAGACACCGTGCCATCGGTTCTGTCTCGTCCTCCTAAACTGCTGATATCTTTCTTGACTGGATCCTATCAAATAATATAACTATCCTGAATACAAATACTCCCACCCATTTTGGCTGCTCAAATCATCAACAGTCATTACTAGATCTTACCCTAGTTTCCCCCGAACTTTTCCTGAAATCTTTAAATCTTCTTTCTCAGTCTTCCCAGACCCTTTTGATTGTGACCATTTTTCAATTATTATAACCAAAGTTAAATTTTCATTAAACAACACTTGTCCACTACGGCCGCACCTCCATGTGCAAAATGCACAAAATGCAATCGCTCAAGCTCTGTCAAACAATAATTTCAGCGCAAGGAACATAAGAGATACGTGCAATTCCGTTGTCAAAGATAATACCCGATTTTCAAAACGTTCCCCTCATTACACGACTCAGTGGTGGGATCAAAAAAGCGTGTTTCTGTAAGGTCAAAAGCGCAAATTTTTGCGGAAGGCTAAAATACAAGTCTCATCAACACTTTGGCTTAAATACAAACAATACTGCCCTCAACTCCGTAAATACATTAAAAGCAAAAAAAGAATTTATTGGGAAAAAACTTGTTCCAATTTAGGGTCCTCAAAGAACATTTTTAAGATCTTAAAAAGTATCTTAACGAGAAATTCCTCATGTCCCTCAGGAAACTTGATTTTAACCCACCAAGCGACAGTTATCACTTGCCCACTCGACCAAGCCAACCTTTTTGGTGAAAACCTCTTTCGTGCTCAAAGCCCCTGCCCATTCCCTTTCTCGTTTTGGGGCACAGGCAACAACTTTTTGTATACTTGGATACCCCTTTCTCGTCTACCGAACTGGAAGCAGCTAAACATCGTAAAAAGAATACGGCACCCGGGTCGGACCGCATTCCGGCTAACCTCATCAAATTTATTGACTCCCGTTATCCAAATAAGTTCCTTTACTTCTTCAATGTCGTTCAAGATACAGCCCACCCCCCAAGTTCATGGATCCTTGTATAGCACCTCTACTTTCGCTAAAGTCTACGAACGTATGCTGCTACAAAGGCTCCTTAATTTTTAGCCCTCAACAAAATATCTCCCCCCCCCACCCACACTTGCTTCCTCCCTTTTCATGACTGTAATACAACTCACCCAATACTTTACCATGACATACGAGAAGCACGCGAGCGGAGAAAATTTATCGTTTGCGTCGCTCTCGGTCTCGTATCCGCACACGCCAACGTATGGATCACTTCAGCGATCTGGTTAGCAATAAAAAAATTCACCACCGAGTATCTTGATTACGTTATTTTATCGGACATGAGTCCGCAATCACTGCCTTCATATCGGCTACCCATAAATCCCCTCACAGGATCCTCCTCTTACAAAAAAAGATCGTTTCAGCAAGTGCAAAAGTGAAATCAAATACGATCGCCTGTATACCAGCACACGTTGGCACCCTCCCCAATGAAACCGTGGATAAACTGGCCAAACATGCCACCAATGTTCCTCGAGCCATCCCCTTTATCTCACCTGAAGACTTGTCATACTCAGCAATTTTAGACTCAACGCAATATATGTAAAAATAGGGCTCGTGGCATTGTACGATCACTGTCAACATCCAGAATCTGCTATCCACCTCCTCTTTGAATGCAAAAGGTTTGAACATCAGAGACAAGCACTGCGCGCCTCAATTGGAGTTTTCCCACTTTTCCTTCATCGTCTTCTTAAGGTCTGGTTTCTTAGGACAAGCGCCTTATCTCAGCGTCAGCGGGACGTCAANTTAACTGAACGCTTCCAGTCCCCAGCTTTCAAATCCCTAATTAAATACAGTTACAAATCTGTAAGTTTTTGGTTTAAGCCTCTCTGATCGCCTGGGAAAAAGAGTTTTTTTTTTAATTAAGAATTTTCTTTTGATGAACGTGAGTCTCTCCAAAAGTGTTGGGACCACCAAATGTTGGATTTTAAATTAATCAATTCGACCTCTCCGAAAGTGTTTTGGAAAAATATTTATAATTTTGATCTCCAGGAAAACTACAAATTTCACATTGAATTTGTTTTAGTTTCTTCATGAACAGCTTACACTTTCACTTTTCCATCGTCATCATCAACAATTCAACTCATCCAAACTTCACCTTACTGCAAGGAGGAAAAAAGCGGATAGCATAGATCCTTTACTACATCATCAACTACAACAACAACAGTAAAACGCAGAAATAAAAAGCTCCTCTCTCGTCGGCCATTAGAGGTGTGTGAAGCGCGTGCAGCGAAAGGGCTATTCACGCTGCATGCGATTGCCTTTGTAGAGTAACTACCACTATAAATATTAAATACCAATTCCCTAGTACTATATGAGACATGTTAACTTGATTCTATCAAGAGGTATATAATGACTTTCGTTTTAAGCGATGCGTCAGAAATCTGATTTAAGCAGCCGGTATGCGGTATAAGGCAGCTTTCGCGGTTTAACGATTTAACATGCGAGGATCCTTGCCTACGCTAGCGCTGTCGAAGACGATTTTGATTTCGTCTAGCTATGAAGACGATGTCAGTTTCGTGATGTTGAATGACTAAGAGCGAATTGAATCAGAAATATAGAACGCTATGCATGGTTTCTTTATGCGCCATTTTTGTCTTTGGGATTTACATTTCATGAAGATCATTTTCAGTAAGACTTATGCTATTTAGCGATCGCTTCTTTATGCATCATTTCGTCACTTTTTTTTTTTTTGTCTGTCGGGATTTAGCGATTTTTGTCAATTACTTTTAGTTGACCTACCGCAATCGCTGTTATCTTAAATTTTCGTTCTGAACTCAATCTACTGATGAAAATAATATATGAATAAAAAAGGATTCTATAATGATTTTTTTAATTATTTGTTTTTCATTTTAAGCGATATAATTCAATCTCGGTATTTCGTATTTAACTAGTTATAAAAAGTTAGTTTTTTTTAAAATTTATTTAATGCACGTAAGTATAATAATTAGATTATTTTTAAGCCAATAAATTTTCAGTTGTTTATAATTATAGAAAAATTTAAAACAAAGCTTACATTTATTTAGCTTGCTTTTATTTTGGAAGAAATTTAAACAAATTTTGCGTTATTTTTTTAAAATAAAAAATTTGGCTATTAGTTAAAATAATATTTTTTTTTGATTAAATAAAAAGTTATGAAACGTTTTGGCGCTTTTAACAATAGTACTTAAAGTACTTTATTTATTTATTATTTTTTTTACTTTTTCTTAAAATTCCATCAATTGTTTCCAAGTTTGTTTCATAATTTGTTAGATAGTCAATATCATTTTTAAGTAAATAAATCTCCAGTCGATTTCATTTTCAAGAAAAGAAAATAACAATAAATAAATAAAGAAAATTTAATTTATTTTTACGTTTATTAAGTGTAGAATTTGACCATTAGTTAATGTAACTTTATTTTCAATAAATAAATAACAGAATGTCTAACCATATTTAAAAAGCACGTTTTTTTTTCAACAAATAATTTAAAAAATGTTTTACTAAAGTGAACATTTCTTAGGTTTGTTTTTTACTTTCGTTTTTCTACCTTTTAATTTTTAATGCATGCATGTAAAATATTTTGTTACAGTTTTACTACTATTTTTAAACCAATAAATCTTAAATCATTTTTAATTTTATAAAAAAATTTAAATAAAGCTTGGGTTTGTTTTCGCTATATCACATTTTTATTATTTTAATTGAAAAAATTAAGCAATGCTATTGATGTTATAGAATCATTTTTTTTTAGAATTAACATTTGCCTTTGTAATAAATTCATACCTTTTACGTATTTTTGATGGATTTAAAGATTTATTATCGATAAATTTTGAACATATGCTAAATCGCGATACATCGCTGGAAGGTGAGTAATGTGGTGTAACTACCACTATTTAAGTATTTAATACCCATTCACTAGTATATAAGACATTTTGACTTTATTCTATATAGAGGTACCTTTTGATAGTTGAAGGTTGGCATAGTCAATAATTATCTCCCCTCACCTTAGACGCTCATGGGATTGTTTAGAAACTACATGTGAGACTAATGCGTGAATCGCATTGATGTGCGATCGCATTGGAAAATCACAAGCAGTGTAAATGCTCCACAACATCGGGATAATAGACTCGCACTATATAATATAACACGCAAATATTACTTTATTTATTGTAACAATCATAATAAGTCATGAGATATTATATTTATTCAAAACTTGCACAACTGTATCAGCCGTTTCTTCTCTGAACTGTGCATGGAGATTGTGGTAACCTCCTTCGAATTCAATGAATTCAACATTTGGAAAATGTCCTCTAATGTGAGGCATGTGGCTCCTCCTAAAAACGTAGTAAAAATGAATTATTAATGAAGTAGAAACATTCGAAAACTGATGATCGTGTTGTTAATTAGTTTCAATAAGTCACATTTTCGGTATTTTTATGATCGGAGAAAATATTTTCTCCCTTTTAATCAGCTCATATGGCCGTTTAAATCAAAGCTTACTTGAAAAGTGTAGTACGATAAAAAGGTAAGACGAATTCTTATTTATTTCGATTATTTTTTTTATTTTCATAATTTGTTGATTAGTTATATTTTCGATACTTTTATGATTGTAGAAAAAGTTTTTTCATTTTTTACTCAGCGGATATGACGCTTCAATCAAAGCATACTTGAGATACTTGGCACAATAAAGGGTCTGTCAATTTTTTATTTAATTTTTTATTTTATTTTCCTGCAATTTTTGACGACAGAGAATATCGGTGCTTTGAATAGGGCTATAACCTGGCGCCAGAGCGTAAGAGTAGGGCAAATGAACCATTGATACAGGACTCAAAATTACCAGGACAAGCCGTGATGGCTTAGATAGATCGTTCGCCTCCCAAGGTGAACCAGGTTCGAATTCCAGAGATGACTGCGTGATACGAATTCCGCATCTGGTTCGCAAAGACTACAATGCTGATTTAAAATATCCTCAGTGGTAGACGTATTATGGACTAAAGTGTCCGTTTCACCAGGTTTCACTGTGGTTTTCGCGGTTTTTCTCTCCGTGCAACGCAAATGCGGGTTAGGCCCATCAAAGAGTCCTTCGCGAAGGCGAATTTCGCCTAATACTTGATCTACGATTTTACTTGTCTACTACACTCATGTCCATAAATTAAGGATAATGAAGTTCAGGCACAGAAAGAGACAGAAGCCAAACAAATTTGACTTATTTGTAAAGTCTATGTATTAAACAAAAGGTAAAGAGCAAAAAAGATGCTATATGTTTGACATAATTAATAAAAATTGCGATTTTTACTCCCTGGAGCAAATTTCAAAAAAGAACCTATTTAAAAAACAGTATAACATGGTTAGTATGATGGTTAATACGGAGTATGTCTCCCGGACGATGCAATACAGGCCGTACAACGCCTATTCATGCTGAGTATCAAATTATCAATCTGATCTTGGGGAATATTACACCACTCATCAAGCAATGCCCTCCGAAAGTCCGGTAGACAGGTGGGAGNAATTCTGCGTCCAGCATATCCCACACATGCTCTATTGGATTCAAGTCCGGTGAGTATGCTGGCAAATCAATACGGGTCATATCCTCCGATTGAAGGCATTCGTCTACAATGTTTGCACGGTGAGGACGGGCGTTGTCGTCCATAAACAGAAATTCAGCACCCATGGCGCCCCGAAACAAGCGTACATGTTGTTCCAGAATGACATCCCTATAGATGTGGCCTGTCATCGTTACACTCTGAACATGCAGGTCAGTTCTGGAACCAAGAATAATTCCTCCCCAAACGAGCCATCCTACACCACCGTAACGGTGTCGTTCAATGGTGTTGTCTTGGTGGTAACGAGTACCTGGCGCTCTCCATATGAAAGTCCGGTGAGAATCAGACTACAAACTAAATCTGGACTCGTCGGAAAACATCACACAAGACCACTGTTGCGGTGTCCACAATGCATGCTCTTTACTCCAGGCTAATCGCAGGTGGCAGTGAGTTGCGGTAAGTGGAACACATCTGACAGGCCTACGAGCATATAGACCAATGTGCCCTAAGCGTCTGTACACGGTCTGCCTTGAAACTGTCGTACTGGTAGCTGAAGAGAGCTGACGAGACAGGTCTGATGCTGTGCTCCGTCTGTTTCTTTTGGCAGTAACTGCCAACTTCATTCGGCGTTGTAACTCGGGGGCGACCTGTGCTGTAACGTCTACTCACATTACCATCATCTTGGAATTGTTGCCAAAGCCTGGAGATGACACTCTGGGTGATTCCAAGTTCCTCGGATATTTCCAGCCGGGTACGTCCACATTCCAGTCGTACGATGATTCTGCCGCATAAAAAATCATCCAAATGCTTCCTTTGTGCCATAACTATGCGGTTATTGCACTGAAAGGCTTTTAAAGCTCTTGTGAACAATTTTACTTATTTGCCCCCATTCCTTATATACCCCTCTCTTACACTCTCGTCATTGTGACGTACTACCAGCGTCATCTAGTGGTTTCCTGTAATTTGCATATTCTTCTTCAGGATGTGTGTGATAATTCTACAGGTGAAATTTTAATTTCGGAGTTTGATTTCCGTGTGATTCTGAATTATCCTTAATTTATGGACATGAGTGTAAAATTGGGTTCAAAATTGCAAGGCTACGGAGTTGAGCATTGATAGTCGTAAACTCAAAATTGGGTCATCTGTACAATGATTGTTATAAAAAAATAAAATAAAATAAAATTTTTAGAGCGGCAATTTTTTTACAATTGCAATAATTTTTTTATATTTTAATTTATTTATTTATTGAGGTGGAAGGTAATATGAGAGCAAATGCAGCGGAAAATTATTTATTTATTTTGCTTTACATCAAGTGATGCACGCATTTTTCTTTTGAATGTATTGGCTAAATTATATCTGGCATACATAAATTAAAAAATTTTTTTCACATATTGATAGTAGGTAGGTAGGTATTTTATTTACGTCGCACTGGAGTTGCACAATCGGCTATTGGCGAAAGTCTGGGGAAACATCTCTGATTCCAAGACATGCCGTCGCAATTTTGATCCTCTACAGAGTTGATGACTACCTTGCTTTCTTAGCCTGACGACCTGCTCGCCAAGTCACGAATTTTATGACAGAACACTTTAACGAGGACCGATACTGCGCAACCTTGGTTCCTACGCTTGCTGACTAAAGTGGTCACTCATCCGCTTACTGACCACAGCTAGTGATGCTTGACTTCGGTTCTCTACTGGGAATCACGTCTTTACGATCAGTCCACTGTGGGACTCACATATTGAAGGATTTCTTTGATCTATAATAAATATGAAGTTGCCTTAAGGGACCTCTTTACTCCCGAATGAGCTTAACTAAAGGAGAGTAGACGAATAGGAAAAATTCAATTGTATAGTTAGTCAGCTTAATTTAATAAGTTAAAATGAACTAACGTCCAATACTTACTCTAGTTTTCGAAAAAAATAAAATACAAAGTTGTTATCCAATTAAAATGAGATAAATATTGTTACTTTCGAAATGCAATATATTTCTTTTCTGACAAAAGAATCAATCCGTAAACAGCTTTTTTAAATGTTTGTTTGTTACTATACATTTGACGGGATTGAGATTATTGATAAATACCTTTGCTTTTGAGTAGTGAGTAAAAAGATTTTTCAATATCATTTAACTAGGATTTTATCAACTCAAAAAGTAATAATAGTAGATCTTCGAAAGCCCCAACTCGTACAAAAGTACAGTATTAAATTATTTGTTCAAACTTGCTAAGTGAATCATTTTATTGCTTTACGTTTCTGAGAAAAGTGTTTTCACAGCAGTTCATAAAATTATCAAGCGTTATTTTTCTTAATCTAATAAAATGTCGCCTTTTTCTTTCTTTTTTAATTTTTTAAATAAAAGTTATTTTAAACAGCTATTGAATGGTACTCTATGATTAAATGTTTGTTCACCCTTTGACGCAGATGAGAAACCAGAGCTCATTTTGTATATATTTGGCTGACTCTCTAATTACAAGTAAAAACATCTATATATATATTTCTCTTACACGGCGACAAAAAAAAGCCTCATTACAACTCCCCGAATGGCAACGAAAATCTACCAATGATTGCAGCTAAAAATGTCACATGCCAAATCTAGCTGAGGTGGCTCAGCATATAGCGCTTTTAAAAACGGAAACTGAAATAAACAGAGAGCATCAGCAGCGGCAATCTCATACTATTAAGCTAGGCAGAAGTGAGTAGTCTTTGGCGATAGATCTCTATTTTAGTATTTTGTCGAAAGCGCTTTTTTTCTCAAATTTATATATTACGAATTTATTTGACGATTTTTGTTTTATATCACGAATTATACTATAGCACATTTCTAATAGGTTTAACGAATTACATGTCATTTATTTGAATTCAAATTTACTTTAATGACTTAATATTTACTACGAAGATGTAATTTTTTTTTAAAATAAAAACTGTTATATGGATTTGAATGATTGTTTTGAATTCTTAGAATTTTGTGCATTTGCAATGGACCTAAGTTAGTAGCGAGTGAAGCAAACCATATAAGATTGTGTAGCCCACTAGTATTTTAATATTTCTTTTAATTTTAAAAGCAATCGAATAATTACTAAAAAATTCCGTTAGAATATCGGAATCATATCTGTACTAAAATACAAAATTCAAAAAAAAAGTAGCTTAAAAAAATAATATTCATTCATATTCAAAAATGTATCAATAATTGATTTTGTAAATTAAGTAAATTTCAATATTGAATATATGTTTCTTTTTAATCTAAATTACTGCAAATTTGAAAAATATAGTTTAGAATTGAGTCGTATTTGGAAGTTTAAGGCAGAAAGAGGCACCGATGTTTCATGCAGTATTTCACAAATGTAAATTATTATAATACTGATATAATATTTTTCAATTATTTTGTCCTAAAATAATATAAAATAATAAAAAGAGTTTGAAAATATGTTTGATAGAAATTCTGCGTCCAAGGGTTAAGAGAAAAATAATCGTAGAAACGAAAATGTTATCTAAATTCCAAGAAGGCGACGACTTATAAGCTTTAAGGTCCGGATGAGATACAGCAGTAACAAGCTTCCGGAAGTAGTTCAGAAAATTTCCGGTGTATTCCTCCGCTTATGTTATGCATTCGCAGTGATGTGTGAACAGGCTCAATGTTCCAGTAGGTTTATTATTGTAATTTGTTTAAAATTTACCCGTTATTTTAACATTTTTATAAGAGTTTTCTTTAATATAAATTCTAACAGGTCGTCTAACAGCCTAAAACAAATTTAAGAAAATTAATGTTACAGCATAAATAAAGTGTAAGTTTTGCAATGGCTATATTAATGTAAAATATTGCGGTTTGTTATTTTTTTTTATAGCATCACATCATGGCTGCGGAGTCTACCGAATTTATTTGTTGTTTCTTTTTCGGTGAAATTCTAGCTAAAAGCGTTATATTGCAAACACTACAAGTATAATAATATTCGATGGCAAGCTGTTTCAAACTTAGGCGTAAAAATCAATTTAAAATGGTAAACCGGAAGTCTTACGACGAATTTTTACCCGTAGCGCCATCTGTGGTTCGCTTTACATGATCAACCATCCATAAAAAGTTAAATAAAGGTAGTTAACAATGTACTTACAAATTCATGGGAGATTTAGTTCCAATAAAAAATACTGCAGGTCCATCGTATAAGCCAACAGGGTCCAGAAGCACACTTGCAGGATCACTATAGATTCGATAGAGTGACTTCTCATTAAAATTAGCCGTGTATCGCCCATCAGCATCTCTTTTGAATGGAGAATGTAGCTTGTATAATATATCTTTAGGAGTACACTCTTCCTTTAATTGAACAAAGACATAAAAAAAGTATATTAATTTGCATATTACATATTACTAATTTAATTTAACCATTTTGGTATAAAACAAGTTATAATTTCTTTGAATAAGGTTACCACGGATCTTACAAATTTTGAAAACTAGAGACGAAGATAAAGCTGGCGTATTGTGGATTACACATGACTTTTTATAGGAAATATTTTTTTCCTATTCCCATCTGTGTCGGCATTCGTCAATTTAGGCGTATATAAAAGCGGAATCGTTAGTTACTCTTTCAGGGGCGCCATATTAGGTAGGCCACATTGCTCCCACAGTAAGGACAGATAATATAGAGAATGAAAGAACATTCATACCTTGTCCTAGATTTGAAGCCAGAATCTTTCCGATGTTCTCTGACCCAGTTCCCTGGTACAGCTCCCTGACCTCTATAGAAAATATATATGTATGAGAATTGGATACCTACAAGTGACGTCATCGTAGGTAAATAATGGATTGTCGATTCAGAAGCCATTCAGAATCGACACACGCGTGACGTCTTTAACAGATGTCCAATTAAATCACATGGCTAGGCATGATCACTTCACTTTTTCTTGATTTGTTAGCACTCATTCTGAGTTGTCAGATCTCAAAGTGTTAAAATCGTTTCTTGTAAAAGAATTCTTTACTACTATTATAAATTTAAACCTAATTTAACCAGCAACAATAAATTTAGCCCCTTAAAACAGTGTGTTTACTACAAAATACTGATTAAATGTAAAAAACATGCTTTTAAATTCATGCAGTGCTTCGTAAAAGTCAATTGTACTCAGGGTGCTTCTACTGTAAATTAAAGGTCAGTCCAAAAATGATGCCACAAAATTTGAATCACAGCTGTCTAAAATATTAGTGATGGAATTTCACGTTTAGCGTTAATAAAGTCGATCTTGTTAAAACGTACCCTAGAAAGATTTCAAGGGCCATTCTAACTGCATGCAAAAACCTCCCGCATGCGCATTCGGTGAGGCAAAGGAGAGCCTAATTGGCGAGCTTACCGCCGAGAAATATGTTTCACCAATAAAGTTCTCATTTGCATCTTCAAATTTGCATCCGCGAATGTTTCGCATGCAGTGAGATGGCGATCTATTGGCGATCGAAAAGGGCTATAGGTTGCGCAGAGCAAATCTCTCTATCTATGGCAATACTTCTCATGCTTTTACCATTAGCGTGAGGAGAAGGAAGCAAACTAGTTTCTGTCCTTATTTTCAAATAGATTAAAAACGTTTAAGTTGGGAAACTATATGGAACTGAAAACTAGATCGAACATAGTTTATAAAAAAAGCGTCGTGACATTTTGAAAAAAATTTCTTTCCAATTAAATACGGAAAAATTAAGAAAGGGAAAAATATCGTAGTACAATTCCTAAACAACTGAGAAAAAGAGGAGTGGGAAGGGAGGAGAGTCCAGACATGGAACCGGTCTTCTCCTCAGATGGCGTGTTCGATCATTGCGATCGTGAATTACACCTTCTTATCTCGTCTCCTTCCTACGGCTTTTAAGGAGACCATCACTGCGCAGACTCTAACCTGGGCACTAATGTTTACACGCTTTCGCAATGGGTATTGGGTGGAAAGAAAAGTAAACTCTTTCGATTGCATAATTCACAATAGTTCCTAAATGAATGATGTAATGGGGAGATAATCTAGTTTTAGCTACTTACATTTTCTTCGGATAATTCTGCGAACATGTCATCAATAATTTTCCTCTTCGCCTCCTCTTCAGCCATATAGCTCGGAATCTTTAAAAATGAATTTGATATTTCTCGTAAGTAATCTCTGCAATGGATTACAAGTTCGTGAGAAGCTGATTTTACATACGTGTCTTCGGATATTATCATTGCTACTCTCTCTGGCTGAAAAAAAACGCTATAAAGATTTATAACTTCAATCATTTTAAAATTGAGAACACTCATACAATACAAAGTAGATTACTAGCGAAACTGAATGAGGCGATAAAAAAAAATTCTGCCGATAATCCGCAAACTGATCGACACATTTCATGAAATTTCGGGGAGACTGAAGCACAATCGGTGTTTTGAAAATGGCGCATCTTCAAATTTGCAGCGAATGAAGTCCGATGCACAAAATAAACTGCGAACGCTGGATAACCCAATTAACTGGAAAGTCGTGATTTAGTTTCAAGTATTTTATACATAGTCCTTATAATTTTGCTCGTGCGTCTCTGTTGACAGTGCTGGAAGTGAAATTATCAAAATTTATAGTTTAAAACCATTTGGAAGCTGAGAACACTCAAACACTAAACTGGCGATTATTTGCAAAACTGTAAGCGGCAATAACAAAATACGAAAAAATCCTTACATATGATTTGCAAACTGATCGACAAACATAAATGAAAATTCGAAGGGACTGAAGCAAAATAAGTATTTTGAAAACGGCGCTTCCTTAGTGGGGCAGAGAATGATACAGAGATACCAAATGAATTACCAACGCTATGTGACCTAAATATAAAATGAAAGAAATGAAACAAATGAAAAAAATCATGAAAATCATATAATGCGTCAATAGTCGCTACAATTTTTGAAAGATTTAAGTATAATAGTATAATGCTGAAAAAAAACTTTTAAAAGGTAACAGAACATTCCATTCAATTGTGTTATGCTGAATATCAGATGAAAAATCAGATGAAAAGAAACAGGAAAGCTTTAGCAGACTCTACATTTTTTGGAGACTCTCACGTATAAAATTAAATAAAAGATACCGGTATCATAAACCTCAAAGATTGTGCATAAACTTTTTAAATATTTTATTAGATTGCGAAAATTAATTTCAATTATAGCTCATTCTAGTCCAAATTACAGCCTAAACAAACTGATTGAAATTGTTATTTGATCTTGGGGCAAGAGGCAGGTCTGCATGAGCACGTCACATATTGGCAATTTAATTTAAACGTAAGGAACGAAACAATTACTTTTTATTATTAAATCAAAATTTATTACACACGAACATTAAGTTAATTTCAGTTAGTTTTGTTTAATTGCTCACCACGTCATTCTTTATTTTATTGATTCGTTTTTCATATTACTATATGGTTCTGTTTTATATCATTATTTCTATTAAATGAGTAATGCTAATGCGAACGAAAAAATATTCCAATATATAATACTTGTTAGTTAAAAATGAAACTTAAATTAAAGCTACCAATATCCAAAAAATAACAAGGCGTCTAACTTGAGGAAGGTGATTTTGTTGCCAAAAATGTCGCCAAAATAGTCACCAAGTTAGTGAAGGTCTAACTGTCAAGCAGAGCCCACACCTCTTAGTAAAGATAAGGCCTAACCACGGATCAATTTAATAGTCCGACGTAACGAACATTAACTGAGCAGTGTAATAAATAAGAAAGATGTCATTACGTTTGGACTACTAAAAGATCGAATTTCTTGTTTGAGGTAACCCGTCCAGAGGTCTTCTTCCCTCTTGGAAATAAAATACTTAAAAATCCGAAAAGTGGAATTTTGAAAATAGTACTGGGTGAAGAAAAAATACGGTGAATTCATTATTTTCAGACAAAAATATTCAAGAAATAAGCATTTTAATCTGAAGGACATTTCTTATGTTGTACAATGTTACAGTAGATCAGATTAATCTTTTACCTTCCGAAGTGCTGCGTTAACTGCAGTATATCCACCCATACTATGTCCAAATAATACAGCTTTATTAGCTTTTATAATATTCATAAAATGAAACAGATCATCGACGTTTAAGGAGGAGCTAAAATCATCAGTATATTCACTGTCACCATAGTTTCTGGCATCATATGCATAGACCTAAAAAAATTTGTACAATACTATAAATAAAGATATTAAAAAATATTTCAGTAATTTCGATACTCGGATCACACAGAATAGTTTAATTTCATATAAATACATTTTAAATGAAATGTTTTTATTACGACTGTTCGTAAATCTCTGAGGCGTGATAAATGTATCTGGAATAGATAGACAAGGAAATTTCGATACGCCATAGTTAAAGTAAGCATGGGAGTTTGATCAAGTCTTTGTCTTTCATATTTAAAAATTTATTTTTCTATAGTTTACGGCATGGTATATGAAGCAGAATCACACGCTTGTGTCAATCAGACTTTTCTTCAAAAAGTCCGATTTTTTCAAGTTCTTCCCCCTTTTGTCTTTTCATATATATGTTGCCGGCAGCGAATTGCCGAACCATACCATAGATTATAAGCTTGGCGATTGCAGGTGGAATTGGCGATGGATTACGTGTAAATGTTGTGGGAAAACAAAATTACATTAACCTAAACAGTGTAATTCGATATTCTTTTTCTCCTCCTCGACTAACCATGATGAATAAAAATAACTCATTAATTCTTTTTAGTAGAGAATTAAAAAGGAAAATAACATCTTTATTGTTAGGATCACTTTACAAATACACTGTATTTATATTTTATTAAACGCAATAATTTATATCTTATAAAACGTTCTAGTTTTTTGATATAATAGATTAAATTTTTTAATTTTTTTTACAAGAATTGTGCCTGCGAAGAAATAAGAATAATTTATTAATGAGCCAATCACAAAAAATAACGTAACATTTTGATACCATGTTTTATTGGGACGCTATTTTGAAGAATTAATTCTATTTAACTTTTATTGTAAGAAAACATAGCCTGTTTTATTTTAGCGATATTCTCTAATAAATCAATATTCTCTATAAAAGAATAATGTAAACTTTTTTAGAAATTAACAAAGACAAACTATTTACTAGAAAAAAAAATTGAGTATTCAAAAATGTAATCACGCTTTAAAGTAATAGTTTCTTGCAAATGAAATAATCTATATTTTTAAAATAAAGTTTGAAAGCGTTTGTTTCATTACTAGAAGCATTTATTGTAAAATAAAATAAAAAATAGTGCGTGGAGTCCCTCCGAGTGGAAGAAATGAAACTTCGTAATGTGGAAATGAAAATAGGAAGGGGTAGAAATAGATTTTTAGTGAAATCATATTGTTTCTTTAAGACAAACTTTATTAACGTTGCTTACAATTCACAATTGATCGCATCTTTTAATTATCATTTTCTACGCGCATGCGTTCGAGTGCAACTCATTCACTCTCGCTCTGTCTCTTTCTATTCCCCCTCCCCAGAGGAGCATTGAATATTTAACGCAACAGTGCTTTCATACCCCCTCCATGGTAGCGTTAAACGTTTAACGCAACCTTGTTGGAAGTCGCATTAGAAGTTTCACTTATAAAATAAAAACCGGCAAAAATAAAAAAAAACATAGAAAAATAAGTATCTAAAGCAGAGTATCTATGTGCATCAAAGTATTTTTTAAATTGTATTTAATAAAAAAAAAATATGCTTATTAACTTTTTAAATACAATACTTTGTTTCATTTAAAAAAATTTTCGCTTAGTTAAAAAATATTAATAATAAAATATATTTTTCAAAAAAATTATAATAAGAAATCAGCTTATTTTTAAATGTTCTAAATTTCAGTAAGGTACTTTTTTTGTATAATTTTATTAAATTAATTTTCTGCAATGAGATTAATTTAATTAAATTATACAAAAAAAGTACCTGTAAGTAAAGTAAGTACTACTATTTTTTGCAATGAGATGAGATCTTAAATTTCGTGAAAAATTGATTCAATTCCTTAATATATATATAAAAGTCCGTAAATACTTAATTCATTATGGAGGTCATAGATATAGCTTCATACTCATTCAATATAAGAATAATAAATGCAATTAATGGAAAATGCACAATTTTAAAAATATATTTAATTTAAATATATTGCGTACAGGTTATTCTGCAACGATCATACGTAACATAAATTTATAGATTCCTAAATACTGTTATATGAGTTTGGTAATTAAAAATATAATTAAAAAATAACATAATTTAAAAATAACGTAATTAAAAAAATAACATAATTAAAAAAATTGTCAACCTTCAATTAAAAACTTCCTGTTGTCAAATATTAATAATAATTATAATTTTTAACAATTTGTTTAGACACAAATTTTTAATTCTCGAACTTAATGCTATCCTTCATATGAAAACATCAGAAAATTTATAAAAGAAAAACTATATTTTAGAATTGAACCATTGGTGACAACAGAGGTCAGATGTATGTGCTGAGTTTAAATAAATTATATGTTATAAAACTCACATTTAAGACTTAGCTCAATTTATTATCAGGTCATAAGAGTGTTTTTTAACAAATAAATGTAGTGATTGTTTGATTTATAATTGTGAGTCCTAGGTGTTTAATGTTAAGTTATACATTTGTTTTGAAATGATTTTTGAAGTATGCAAAAGCCAGGGCGGCATTCATTTCAACTTAAAAATCATCAACTTAACTTTCAATAATTATAGATAAATAAAAAACAAAAGTTAGATAAAAACTTTAAATGAAATACTTTTAGAAAAATTCTTTCTAAATAATATTTAAATAAAACACAAATACTTCGCCTGAGTGTTTTTGTAAGGAATTGTAAACTTTTTAATTTCACAAGTTAGGTGAAAAATAAATATCTTAAAATAGTGGTAGGGAATTAAGGAAATTCTAAATCTAAAGTTTGAGTCCTAGAACGTAAACATCTGATCATTAGATCAAAAGTTAGTTTTAGATTTTTTGTTTACTGCTCACTGTACACTAAAACGTGATTTTTTTTCTTTTGAAATCTTGATTTTTATGCCATTACTTCAACCTCCTTCGAGTTATACTTACTTTATAAATTTAATCTTAACTTTATTTTTCTCCTCACTTTTAAACTGTAAAAGACTTTCTCCATTTGTAAATTATTAAAAAAGTGATTAATCCGATTGCATAAACAGTTAATTCATTAAAATTGGACATTCTCAATTAATTCCTTTTAATAGTCATTTATATTGTTAATAATAATTATTTACAGAAAATTATAAAAAGGGAAAGTTTGATTAGAAATTTAAAAGTTTTTGCTGCAATAATTAGGGAATTTCTACTGACAAAATTCAAGTAATTTTTTTTCGGGGCAAAATGCATTTTTATTTAAAAGGGAACAATACTGACTTAATATGTATACGATAAAAGACTCTCTAATAGCTAACACCGATGACAGTAAAAAATTTAGTTTTTTTTCTTTCTTTTCCACAAAAAGTTTAAAATTTAAATTGTTGCTCTTTCATTATAAAGCAATCGTATAATGTATGACTTAATGACGAAGTTACTTATCTACCGTTTTACAATTATAAAATGAAATAATTATTGAATTCTACTTGCATTTTAAAATGTAATACTCAATTGTTCAATGAATTTTACGATTATTATTATGAAACTGTGTATAATGAACATTTCAACTAAAATAATTAGTGCAAAATAGCTGCTAAAAATTCCCTTAAACATTTATAAATATTATACATTTATAAATTTCAGCTTTTCGCATTATTGTTAAATAATCTCTACGTCGAAAAATATTTAAAAAATTCCATAATAACTGAAAATTAAATAAAATTTTTAAAAAATTGTAAATGGTTATCGAGCAGAACCATTAAGTTTAATTAATGAATATAGAATAGGAAACAAAGTCTCTGCTAACCAATAAAAAGATTTTTTTAATCTTTTAAGTAAACAAACTTTATTGTAATAATTATTTCATTAATAAAGATTAAAGGTTATTGTGAAATTATTAATTTTAATTAGTGGATGAGTTGGTAAAGAAGTTCACTACTCGAAATACATTTAATGAAAGTTATGAAAATATAGAAGGGGCTATGGAG